TGAAAGAAGCGACAACCGGAAATATTTCTGCGTAAGAAGGCTACATTCTCAAGAAATTCAATTCGATCCGTTGATCAATTTTTTCAGGGTAAATCTTCTACAGCAAAAAAGAGAAAAGTTTGCAGGCAGCCAGCCAACGTGGATGGCAAGATTGCGTTGAAAAAGCAAAGCTTCTTTTCTCGCCCGCGTGCTTTTTGCTCTTGTGAGTACAACTTGCTTCCGAAATCTCGCATGCACCAACATTCTTACAAGCAAAAAAAATTGACTCTAATGCACTCATTACACGCGCATGAATTGTTCAAAACTCAATTCTAGTGGGGCATTTCTCTCTCGTTTGTTTCATGTCTTGACTACCTGGAACTGAATCGTATCACTGCTAGGGTCACATAGATTATGCTCGAAAATTTTGAGTATTATACTTTTGAGCGTCACCTTTGAAAAAAAAAAGGCATTTGAGAAAAAAATTATGCCAAAAATTTTCATTATGTGCAATTAAATTTGGAAAAATTCGAGGGGTACGATTTACGCCGTAACGGTCTCCGTTACTTTCCGAGATTGTGCGACAAACATCGGATTGTAAACAAATCAAACTTATAACTATCAGAGCGTTCCAACTCCGTGGCAACGTAATTATTCCACTCCGTGTAGGAGGCATGTGCAGCCATACGTGAAAAAAAGCAATGATAAAATAAGGGAAATTTTACGTGCTCACATCAGCGCCTCGGTGATATTTAAGCATGCGGATAAAATCTTGAAGTCAACCTAAGTGGCAAACAAAAATTCTGCTGGTTGGTTTTTAGAGCCGACTCATTTGAGCCAAAAAGAAATAATAATAACAGCTTTTTATTGAAAAAAAGCAGCCTTTTACAATCAAGCCCCGTGAGGCCTTTTCAATTTAGAGCTGAAAACTACCTCGCACATCATCCCGGCTTTCGGATCGAGCTTTACGGCAGGGTAACAAAAATAAATTTTTCTGAAAGGAAGACTTCTTCGCGCGTTCTGCTTTCGCCTAAGTTAGATCTGGAAGGAATAATTTCAATTAAGTGTGAAAAAATAAATTTTTAGGTCGCGTCACACTTTCCCAGATTCTTCACTAGTTCCCAGTTTACAGGTTTGTAGGTCAACCTGCCCATGTACAGTAACTGCGCATGTCCTAAGCCTGCGTGTGTTCTGGAAATGGTTGAAGTAAGCGAACAAAGTGATAAGGTAAGATAAACAGAGAAAATATCTGCGTTGTTCTTACAATGGAAACTGATGCCTGTAGATTTTGGCTCTAACGTGTATTAGGTTCAACGTTTCTAGCGGGTCTGTTGTTTGTGTGGCTCGAGCTAGCAGTCTTCGTAGCCATCTCTCCTGATGAATCGTCGACACGTTTTCACGTGCATATTATGGTTTTAACGGCTGCAAACGACGTTGAACTTCTACTTTCTTCAAATTTAAACACGCGTAGACCAAAACGTTTTGTTCTTAACTTAATGTAGCAATCGAGACCCTCTCTCGTCTTATACTTTGATTCCTCAATGATCAACTCGTCTGTCAGCATAATTTACTGGTACACGCATGATAAATTAAGTAATTTGAACTGTAAAACTTGTGGAAAGTGTAGATTTTAAGGTTTGTAGGTCAAAGTAGTCCGCCACTGAGATACAAGTCACTTAAACTGTCCGTAGATATTTACATGTAGACATCAAAGTAAAAGAGTGGTAAAATTGACCTAGTATGGAAAGGAGGTGGACCAGTAAAACACCTTATCACACATCCGGCAGCGTGCGTGGGTAGTGTGAAGCGAATTCAATGTACTGATTGGCTATCCAAGTGGTCAAAATGGGCTCATTTTGCACGCTTGAGATCAGCTGTTTTGATCCTGCATGAGAAATGATGGCTTGGAGGGGACTTAAAAGTTCATAATTTTTTTACTATGATGATAATTGACTTGCAAAAATGGGAAGAACAGAGAGAGCAAAGAAAATCTTAAATGACTCTCATGGGTTTATAGCTCTACAAACACTGTTCGATTTCTTTTTTTTCTGGCTCTCGAGATACAGCAGTCATTCTTGATTCTTATTATGCTGACTTTGTCTCTTAATAAAAATGCAAAAATAGAATGCAGCCAAAATCCAACCATCCTGACCTCATGCTTGGTCAATAATGCATATTTATCATATCACTAGCAGTACCTGTGCCAGTGATATGAGGCTTCCAAAATAGAACTTCATCTTATGTTTATTTTTGAAATCTAAATTGCACCAGTTAAAGATAGATTAGGTATTCAATTGTAGCCATGAAAATCCACAATGGGCCTAGATACAAAAATCTAGAAAATCTCCAAAAAATGTGTGAAATCTCCTTTTTTATCTCCAAAAATCTTGAAATTTTTCCTACAAATTCCAGATGTCTCAATTTTTTTAATAATCAGATAATTTTCATTAAATGCCAGATTCCCCCCAGTGAAATCACATGGAAGCACCTTTAAACTGATTCTAAATCATTTATTTACCAGACAAAGTAAGTGATTTGTTAGCTTTGTCTCCTTACATAATTCTCCTTAAAACAAACAGTAACAACATTTAACAGTTAGCACAGAGGCCCTTCAGCGATGCTGAAAAGGCTTGTAGTAGTAATTATGTGGAAGGAGCATGCTTGGAAACAGTGAAAGAACAATGAAGAAGCTGTTATGAAACACATACATTTGTTTTCATGTAAACCTTTTGGACATTATTGTCTAAAAATGTGTTCTAAAACTCCTCAGATTCTCTAAAAAAGCCAGTTTGGCTCTGAAAATCATAAGGAAAATCCAAATTTTTGTATATAGCTTTAATCCACAACTTTTGTTGAAGTACTATAGGAAGTACTAAGTTGATAAGGAGTTTTGAAGGATTTTGGGAGGTTTGAAAATAGTTTTTCAAATAGCAGTTTAAGTAAAATTATTTAGATTTTTTCCATATGTGAAAGTGTTATACTGTGGCCTATGCAGACAAACAGTTTAAATTTATAAACAAAGTATCATGGAAATAATTTTTCTTTTCTCTTTGTGTGTCACTCATGATTTTACTAGTTGAAAAATAAACTTTGGTTTGTTTGTTTTGATTACAACTTGATCAAGGAATTTTTTATAAGTTTAAAATTACATCTGTTATTTTTTATTTCAAATATTTTATTTTTGAACTTTTGTATCTCCATATAAGTTTGAATCTGTCACCCTATGGAAAGATGTCTCTTTAAAACCCTTTCACACCCAAAGAATGCATTAGCAATTATCCTTACTGTCTGTGATACAATTCTTTACAGGTAGTAGTAGTTCTAAGAATTTTTACTGGTGGATCAGATAATATCCTCTAGTTGATATTTGCTTTTATTCTCCTAACCTAGCAGCTTGATAATGTGTTGATAATGTAGGGAGAAATTACTTCTTAATCACTCCTGGAAGTGAAAGGATTTCAAAGGATATCTGATTTGAATAATTGTTTGTTCCGGATGGAAGACAGAATTGTTTGGATAAAATTGTATATGTGCATTTGTATCAGTGAATCTTCTCCTAACTTATCACTTCATATTCAAGTCACACAGTTCACAGTTCTCTATGTCACACAAATCACCATTCTTTGTGTCACACAATTCTGGTGTCTGTGCAACACAATTCTGTCAAGTGTTCATGCATGTCACAATTCTTTTAATCATTTTGAAAAGAAACTGTTCAGTCACAAGAGAAAAGACATTTATTCCATTCTGTAATGAACTATGACCATACTGATAGATTTACTGTCTTTTCAGCCCTAAGAATTACCTGCATGACACAAGAATTAACTTTCTTTGTGCTGATGAATACATGTATCCTATGAGGATATTCGCTGGACAAAGTCCTTGAAAAAGTTTGAAAGCTTTTCTTAAAACAGTGATTAGCATCTCCAACTCCAGTTTTTGTTTGGATTGTGTTTTTTTTTACAGTCAAGAGAAACCATAATACTGTAGTTCTAAATCTGATTACAGAGATCTTACCGGTGACTGGTCATACGGTAGAGGATGGATTTAACCTAAGAAAGTTCTTGGGAGTTGTAAGGAAACTTATTTGTTAGAAAATTTAAATGATTCATGTCTAATACATGTACATTTGATGTTTTTCAAAAACCATACATTGTATACAATATTTTGGATAGTGGTGAGGTAAACCAACATTAAGTGCAAAACAAAATTAATTACTCTGAAGTAAAGGATTTACAAACGTACATTTCTAGGGTTTTTAGCTTTTCCAACTGAATCTACATGTGCTATGTTTGAAATACACTAAAACTAATTATTTCATGGTTAACACAAGTTCTTGTAATGTTGGGATCTTGAACTTTCAAAGTTCTTCAGCACCCTGTGTATTAAGTTTAAGAAGGAACTAAGGTTGGATAGAAAGCATTGGGTGGCAGCCTTAATCTGATCTATTCAGATTTTGGATTTTATTGCTACTGTTAGGAATTTCTATTGCCATTAAGCTATACTTTTCAACAAATGTACATGTTTAGTGACCTAATGTTCATGTACATGGTTGCATCTTGTGCTATATCTTTAAAAAGAGAAAAATACTGTGACTCAAGAGTACATTTTATGTGCTGTGTATGCTATTATTCCCACACATGGTGTTAAACATTTTAATATTTTAAAATGTAAACTTTTAAATGTACTTTCTACACATATCTGAATATAAAAGCCACATACATGTAACATGAAGACATTTTAACCCTTTCACTGCCAAGAGTATATTTGTCCTTACAATGTCAATACATCTCCCAACAGAGGGAAGATGAGACATGGGAAAAATTACATATATCATCTTGGGGACTTTGTTTCACTCCATACTTAATTCTTAGATGTATTTAAGTATAAGAGAAAACAAGGCTAACATTCTAGAGAATTGATGACTAGATCTTGAGAATGAAACAGTTAATGAAGAGTTACCGCTCATAAACTGAATGTTTTTTTTAAAAAAAAAGACACATGGAAACTATTGTTGGAATTGTAATCAAAATCAATCTGCCTTGTTATTACAGCTGCAGTTTGAGCAGTTTCAGAAAACTGTTAAGCTCAATATTCTAAACTCAGAGGTCAATTTTGTACATTGCCTGTACTTAAGAGTAAAATAAAAATTTGAATAACTCACCATTGCAACTGATGAATCCATGAGCCAAGAAGGTTGTACAGGTATGGTTTCCATTTCTCCTTGGGAACGCATCTGTTGGCTTTCAAAGATGACTTGTGCCAACATTCTGCTGTCAATAAATTCATGAGTTAAGAATAATGACGTAGTAATGAATTTGGTCCTGCCCTCTAATATTTGAATATCTGCAGCTTCTGTGATTGTATAACATGAATTGTGCAAGAAAATTGTGTCAAGCACTCTGTATGATTGCTAATAATTTTAAATTATACTGTACCTTGTTTGCATTGTAGGTGTGTCATCAGGCACCTGTAAATTAAAATGTAATTCAGCTTTGAATTAAGAAGACATGTTATCTGCTGCAGCCATAAAGGAACACTTAACCCTTTAGCTCCCAGAAAAACCATTAATAAGTGGAAGAAGTTATCTTGATCAAACACCAAAATCTTATAACAAAATTTACAAAGAAATGTGTAGCAGCCGGAGAGGAGAATTAGCAATGAGATCTTGGGTGTTAAAGGGGTTTAAAGTTTCAGTTGATAAAACAAAGGAAAACAATTATGAGATTTATCACCTTATTATAGCTAATATACTTTTTAACCTGAACTCTTGTAATAATATTATATTATGTAGATATTATCAAAAAGTATTAACTACACTCTGTATAATACATTTACATTTAGCTTCAATTTTGACAACCCAGCAATATTCTTGGATTATTTTTTATCTTGGTATCTAACTTGCATACTTATGTAATATCTTATTATGGGGCCCCCATGTCATCAGTTTTATTACTCTAATGTGCTTTTCATGTGATGGGAAGACTAATTTTTCTTGTATCCCTTCCCAAGTGATGTGAAATATGTATCTTGTTGACAATCTGCATAGTAGAAATGTGTCCTGATATATGAGGCTGATTGGGGAAAATGTGATGCCTATTTGTTGTGAGGGCTTGTACATGTACAAAAGTTTGGCCAAGGAGGGGGGAAAATTCATATTTTAGTCAGAGGTAGACTTAAATTTGTAACCTGGCACTTAAAAAGGAAGTTTAATTTTTAAAAGATTCTTCATACCTCCAGGTCCAATATCAGAAACTGAGAGAATGTGTCCATCAGATCATCCCTAAAATGAATTAAGCAGGGCAGAGGTAAGTTCATGCCTCAGTTTGTTTACAGTTAACTGTTTACATTAAACTTGGTTTCTAAGTGTGATATCCCATGCATGCATGCATACATGCATGCATGAAAATAAATCAACATATTTTCATGATAAATAGTGTGAGAACATAGACTTGTTCATGTCATGTGTTAGAGGTAAGAGATGAATAATTCTTACAAGCAAGGTAAACATTTGTTATTTGAAGGACAAACTGGGATGCATTAGACTGCACATATGTACTCATTGTTTGCAACTATAAGATTATCAATACATATACAGTGTGTATACAATCATGGCTATCATGATTATAAATACTAGATCTGGAAACAATTCAAAAGGTATTGTTTAAAATGCAAGTATTGATTTCTTACAAGGGGAACATAAAGGGGATTATAGGTTGATATAGTTTTGCTTCTGGAATGTGTAAATTGAACGAAGAGTTTTTCAACTTACCGATCTGTGCTCACAAATCGGTCCTGGTCCTGAAACAAACAGTTGCACTATTCATCAATGCACAGAAACGAGGGGAATAGAAGACAGAGTTTGCTTGAAATATGTGAGATTCATTGGAAAATTTATTTTAGCTTTAACTGCAACTTATTACTGTCGTTAGCATGGGTATTCTCGATACACACTGATCGTTACTGCAATTAGTGCTTACAGCTGTATGACATACCCTTCTTTAAATTGCTGATTGCCACTTCAGGTTGAAGTAATTATTCTGCCATATCCTCTTTGACCCTGTACATAATCGATATCCGAATCGCAGAGGGATCTTGGAGTTCTATCGTTAGGTCTTACTATCATTTTTGTCCGTGACAGCTGATGATAGGTTTTGAATTTATCGACGTGAAAGTTGAACGGTTTTTCCGAATAGGCACTTCATCACGATGTAAGAGAAGGCGGAAGCGAGCAAAAGTAATGGGAAATAAAGCAAATGCCTTCTGAGCTTAAAAAAAATCCTTAGAAATTTTGGACCTTGAACAAAATAATTTACACACCCGACTACATAAATTGCATGCAGCTAGTATGTTTCATTGCAAACGATGAGATTTTACGAGACTGAAGTCACTGTTTAAACGTTCATGAAGATGGCTTTAGTTGGCACCATACAGCGAGTTTCTTTGAACTTGAACAGGTATAGTAAGAAAGAATTGTTGTTGAATTGAGCTAGCTTTGGAGATTCATGAACGTGCATGAATGTCGAAATAATACCTTTTTGGAATGAAAAACAAACTTTTTACTGAAATAACTCTGAAGTATCGGTATTGGGTCAGGTTAGAAGATGCTTAGAATTCAGGATAGCATTAAACTGATAATCATCGAGCTGTATAGCAGCAGGACAGTTAAAGTTAGATAGCTTTGCCTTTAAATGTACACACATGGTACTTACATTTGCGTTGCTGTTAGAATTGGCCATTGTTCTTGCTCCTTCGAATACTTTATAGTATAACTATGAAAGAGTTGATAGTGCTGTTAGTTTATGCAAATTCCTTAATGTTCACGTTTTCAACGTTTCTGTGATACTTTGACTTTCCAAGTTTTACTTTGGAACGATTTGTGTTTAACAAGTCCTCCAACAACTATATATATTCTGCTGATTATGAATGAATGCAGCATGATTCCAAATACGTGGTTATGATTTGGTATCATCTGTTAGGCCCCGCGGGAGGCCAAGTTCCTAGCCCTTAGCGAGCTGGCTCCAGTCGCATGTGATGGAATGGCGTCTTTTAAATAATCAAAATTACTTCGCGTGGGTACTGTTCTAGGCGACATAAAGCTGGTCATCGCGGAATCGTTGCGTGCGATACACTAAACACAATAAAAAGTGCCTGAATGTATCTAAGAACGGTTTGGGAGAGCTGAAAGAGCGGTATCTCATACCCTGTTACAGTTCGTGAAATGTGCTATCAGAAGAGCGACACTGTCTTCTTTGTCTCATGGGCGGTAAATTTTCTCAAGTTATTGCAAGACTCGGGAAAAATACCGCCGAAATAGTTGTGCAAAATGGGAAATAAACCTACCTCAGGTGAGCTGGAGAAATAGGGTGTATTGATAAGGTTTCTTTCGGTTTGTAAAGTCTTCGATCCGCGTGGTACATCGACACTACGTCACAGATTTAACTCATAGATGATTGGCCCAGTCGCAATTAACATTAGGTCACACTTCTCCGTAAGTGACAAAGATGATTGCGATCGGAGCAGCCATGTTTCGGGTTGTAAAGCAAATTTTGGGGTGGCAGTCGATTTGATTGAAGTTTTTGAAAACCACCTCTGGAGTAGATAAAGAAAACGCAAGGAATGAGTGGAACCCATTGCATCTACAGTATCCCTTACCTTAGCTTTTGTGGCCGTGCCAAAGCAAGTGATGTCATGTAATCTATGACTTTTACATACAACACTCTAAGAATCCTCTCAGATTTTTTTCATGTGTTGGAAGTCCCTCGCTGCCTTTTTGTTAGGCAGTACGAGGGACGTACATTTTTATACACGAAATACTGCTTTTACTTTTTGACCGTTATTTGTAAGATAGAGCTACAACAGTAATAATAGGACTTGTTCACAAACGCATTTAGCGCGGCTCGAATGCAGGTTGAACGTTGGTAGTTTTTACGAGAAATTTAGCTGTTGTTAATTCCTTCACTGCTGTGATCATTAAAACAATTATCCCAACTAAGGCTTAACTCTTCTTTCTTTCTTAATTCTGAGAATGTGGTTTCTTATATCAGAACCATATCACTAAGTTGATTTTGTTAGTTATTCTCATTACCAGGTTATCTGATAGGGTATTGAAGTTGTTGGGAGAAACTACATACCAATCACTACCAGTGCACAGTGTAAATTCTGCCATCGTTATGGATTGTGCTCAGTGAAACTCTATCCGTCACAGACAGTTAAAAATCCATCGCCTCTCTAATTAGGGTTCCGTTTCGTCAAGTCGGTTGTCGTGTTGATTGAATTTTGCTGAATTAATTTTATTGGGTTTCCTGGAAAGAGATACATCTTTTAAGACTACCTGAAATCGAATTTTACTTACAGAGTGGAATTGAGGTCAAGAATAACATTTCGAATCGTGATCAGTCTACCTCTGAACAGTTCAATTTTATGAAAGTCGTAAATTTAAAGAAAACTTGTGAAATTTATAGATCATGAAGTAAAAAAACCTAATCATCGACGAACTTACCTCGCATATCCTTTTTGTGTACTGAACATGACAAATTCAATCATGTCAAAGTGAAGAAAACCGTGTTTAAGTCTGCGATATCGGTTCCATGGGAAATCAGTTCATGAATCGATGGCCGATCGTATTGTAAGCTGTCACTTAAAGGATGCCAGTCATGAATTTTTGTAGAGAAACTTCCTTAAAAATGAAGAAAATTCTTGGTCTTTTATCAAAACGATATATGAAGTCTCTGATACTATTCGCCTTTTAAATGATCTTTCTTTGCAATCTTCACAAACGCTCGTGTGCCTTTTATATCCCCGAACATCCTTCAATGTTCCAATCCTCAAGTGATTTCAGTGAGAAGAAGCGCTCGTTGTGTCAAGAGCAGGGTCTGCACTTGTGTTTTCCTTTTCCATGCTACCCAGTTCTGGCGTGATTGTGTGTCCATTCTGGAGCGCGGGTATGAAATGAAATAATATTGTTAAAGAGTGTTGTACAATGGTACGCCGTGAACCTTGTTGGCCACGGTAAAAGGAGGACAGGCAGTTTGAAAGTGGTTTGATGTTCATTAAGAACTTTAACTGAAACTACGTTTGAACCATTGTTATTTTATGAGCAGACTTACCTTTTCTACCCGTTGACTAAATGCGCTTCGCAGACGTGATCTATTGCAGAATAAAGCGCTCTTCGCTCTCCGAATGCCACGTTAGGTGTCTCCTCAGAGTTCAATGGGGGAACATTATATCGTGAATTTTTTGAATGGGGAATTTTTGTGTGTACTGTAATGCAAACTAGGGAAATAGCCCACGGGAAATATTTAGTTTGTGCAAGTCCAGACGTGTTCTCTCAAATTTGTTTACTATGACAATCAGGGAAAGAGCTTGGAATGTTTTTATCCGGCATTTCAATTTGGTAGCTATATAATTCTCGATGAAATTTCCGTTTTGATTATTAAAGAGTGTTGTACAACGGTACGCCGTGAACCTTGTTGGCCACGGTAAAAGGAGGACAGGCAGTTTGGAAGTGGTTTGATGTTCATTAACAACTCTAATTGAAACTACGTTTGAAACATAGTAATATTATTCGCAGACTTACCTTCTCTGCCTGTTGACTAAATGCGCTTTGTTAACATAATCTATTACAGTATAAAGCGCTCTTCACTCTCCGTATGCTACGGTAGGTGTCTCCTCAGAGTTCAATGGGGGAACATTATATCATTAAAGTTGCGTGAATCTTTTGAATGGGGAATTTTTTTGTGTGCTGTAATACAAATTAGGGAAATAGCCTACGGGAAATATTTAGTTTGTGCAAGTCATGACGTATTCTCTTAAATTTGTTTACTATGACAATCAGGGAAAGAGCTTTGAATGTTTTTATCCGGCATTTCAATTTAGTAGCTATATAATTCTCGATGAAATTTCCGTTTTGATTTTTAAAGAGTGTTGTACAATGGTACGCCGTGAACATTGTTGGCCACGGTAAAAGGAGGACAGGCAGTTTGTAAGTGGTTTGATGTACATTAAGAACTCTAATTGAAACTACGTTTGAACCATTGTGATATTGTTAGCAGACGTACCTTCTCTCTCTGTCGACTAAATGCGTTTTGTTGACATGATCTATTGCAGTATAAAGCGCTCTTCGCTCTCCGTATGCTACGGTAGGCGTCTCCTCAAAGTTCAATGAGGGAATATTATATTATGAAAGTTGCGTGAATCTTTTGAATAGGGAATTTTTTTGTGTACTGTAATGCAAACTACAGAAATAGCCCACGGGAAATTTTTAGTATGTGCAAGTCCTGACGTGTTCTATCAAACTTGTTTACTATGACAATCAGGGAATGAGTTCGGAATGTTTTTATCTGGCATTTCAATTTGGTAGCTGTATAATTCTTGATGAAACTTCTGTTTTCAACAGGAAAATTAACTGCACATGGAAGTCTCTAACGTTGTAAATACGACAGGCTGACTTTCTATGGATTCCTAAGTGTTTTTATGTTAATCTTTTGCTGTCGATGACCTCATTTGAAACTGAAAGCACTTATGATGGCATAATTTCAGTAATGACTAGGCAATTATTTTTCAAGGAGTGAATATGTAGTTCACGATAAAAATATGAAGCAGTCACTGATCACAGCTTATATATATTTACTGCTCTTTAGGCATGATGAAGTACTGTTTGGCCTTTAATCAAGACTGGTAGAGAATTTTTGAGATTAAGAGCCCTCAACCATGATGGTTATTTATGCAGAAATGACAATCGAGTGTTAATCGGTTTAGGGAATTATTCAAAACACAAATATGGTATCATAGCTTATCGTAAATTAGTCAACAGTAAACTGAGGAGCAGATTGAGAGAAATGAAATTTAGTAGGAAAGTTAAACGATGAGCGAAATTGATAGAGGTAGATTTTGAAAACTGAATAACAGTTTTTATATTTTCAATTTGGAGTTTCTCGCCTTGTCTATAAACACTACCGATTAATTTTCAAGCCGTTCGGCACAAGCGAGTCAAACAGTGTTGTTGAAACAGGATTGTTTTCATACTGTTTTTACTTCATTGCACTTAGAAAATTTTTGTCTGGGACAAGTTCCGCCGAAAGGGAAATTTTTGTTTTGAAAACGGAAGTTTGGTTTGTTTGAAGCGTGATTTGAATTTGGTGAAACCACCTTGTTCCCCGAAATTAAAATATAAATGACTATGGGCTAGAGGATTAGGCACATAGCTTGTAAAAACAGAAGATAAACGGTAGACGGTAGACGATAGAGAGTAGACGGTTTACGACCGATTGTGTGACAGGACATGATCACGGAATCAAAAATTGTCACGTAATCGCGTGATTTTCAAATGAATTTTTCCTTTACGGGGCGTTACGTGGGTGACCGCTTTATACATGTTCCCCGGCGAAGGAAAACAAAAGGATTAAAATAAAAGCATCTTTCGGCATTTTGAGCCACCTAATTAACTAAAACTTGCTCAATACACTACTTCTGACATGGACTAGAAGGAAGACAGAGAGTTGTCAACAATCGCAAGGAAAGTAAAGATATTAAAGGATCCTAGTCAAACAGGCCTCCGTTTTTGTTTAAATACAGGGAACTGCGGAGAAGATAGTTCATACTGCAATCAGCCCCTGGTTAAGTGCAGTTTTGGGTGACCGTTTAATACAGGTTCCAGTAACGTAATGCAACGCCCTGTGAAAGAAAGATTCATGCGACATTCACGCGATTGCGTGATAATTTTGAATTTCGTGATCATGTCCCGTCACACAATCTATCGTCTACCCTCTATCGTTGGTGTTTTAATTCATGCCTTTTGACATAGCCCTACGCTTTTTGGTTTCAGTAACTTTTACTGCCCTGAACCATTTCTCAATAAAACTAAAGAGACCAACAAAACGGGGTTCATGGAGTACGAGTGACAGACTTGAATCAATTTTATTGTAACAATAAATGACTTTTACAATTGGAACTAAACACATTGTCAAGGCATCGGAGACACAATGCTGGTTTGGTTATGCAAGAATGTATTGGTTCAATTTTAAGAGAACACGACCATGAAAAAGCATTAATTTATTTAAATATTAGAAATATCTTAAATATAAAGAAATAATCAGCAGAATTATGAAAATGTTGATATTTTCGGTCAGTTGGTCCGCATCGTGGTTCTCCTGCAAATATGAAATGATAAAAACAATTTGATAGAAAGATATTTTATTGGTTGGTAAGCGAGCTTTTTAGGTTACATTCGAATTAATTATTTGCTGAGTTATTCACCTGCGCTACATGGCTTTCTTCTTCTTGGTAAAGATCAATCGTACAAAGATCGTAGAAATTTGATTTGATTTATTGATAATTTTAATGATTCATCTCTAGTTTGTGTACATTTGAAGTTTTAAAAAAACCATTTGCTTATTTGTTTGGGTTTGAGTAACACGAGTCAAGTCGTAGTATATTTTATACAATATTTTGGGCAATCGTGATGTAAACCAACATTTAGTGCAAAACAAATTACTCTGGAGTTAAGGATTTACAAACATACATTCTAGGGTTTTTTAGCTTTTCCAACTGAATCTACATGTGCTATGTTTAAATTACACTAAAACTAATTCTCTAACAGTTAACACAAGTTCTCGTAATGTTGGGATCTTGAACTTTCAAAGTTCTTCAGTGCCCTGTGTATTAAGTTGTAGAAGGAACTGAGCTCAGATGGAAAGCAGTGTGTGGCTAACATTTTAGAGAATTGATGCCTAGATCTTGGGAATGAAACAGTTAACCCTTTAAATCCCAGGATCTCATTAGTAATTCATCTTACTGTCTACAATACAGTTCGCTTGTTAGTATGGAGAATTTGGTATTAGATCAGCTAACAATCCCTTTATTGATATTTTTTCTTTATTCTCATCATTTGTCAGCTTGATATTTCATTGATGTTGTAAGGAAACATTCTGTTTTAGTCACTCAAGGGAGTTAAAGGGTCAATAAAGAGTTACCACTCATAAACTTCATGTTTTTGGGGGGAAAAAGCACAGGGAAACTATTGCTGAAATGTAACCATTATCAGTCTGCCTTGTTGTTACAACTGCTGTTTGAGCAGTGTCAGAAAACTGTTAAGATCAATATTGGAAACTCAGGTCAATTTTTGCACATTGCTTTTATTTAAGAGTAAAAGATAAACATGAGTGATGATATTGTGCTAAGTTTCTTTTTTTACTTACCACTGTAATTGATGAATCCAAAAGCCAGGAACGTATTTGTTGGCTTTCAAAGGTGACTTGTGCCAAAACTCTGCTGTCAATAAATTAATGAATTAGGAATAACAACATAGTAATGAATTTGGTCCTTTCCTCTAATACTTGACTATCTGCGGCTCCTGTGACTGCATGACATGAATTGAGCAAAGAATTTTGTCAAGAATTCTGTATGATTGCTAACAGTCACAAATTACACTGTACCTTGTTAGCGAGGTAGGTGTATCATCAGCCACCTGTAAAATAAAATGTAATTCAGCTTTGAATTAAGAAGACATGTTATCTGCTGCAGCTAGAAAGGAACACTTAACCCTTTAGTTCCCAGAAATCAATAACAGTTAGAAGAAGCTATCTTGATCAAACACCAAAATCTCATAACAAAATTTACACAGAAATTTGTAGCAGCTGGAGAGGAGAATTAGCAATCTGACCTTGGGAGTTAAAGGGGGTTAAAGGTTCATTTGATAAAAGAAAAGGAAAATCAAATCATGAGATAATTTACTTCATTATAGCCAATATACTTTTTAACTTGAACTCTTGTAATATATTATGTAGATATTATCAAAAAGTATAATCTTCACTCATGCATAATATATTTACAGTTAGCTTTAACTTTGACATCCCAGCTATTATCTTTATTAAATTTTTTATCTTGATATCTAACTTGCATACTTATGTAATATCTTATTATAGGGCCCTTATGTCATCAGTTTTATTACTCTAACGTGCTTCCCCCCCTGGTATGAAGACTGATTTTCTTGTATCCCTTCCCAAGTGGAGTGAATTATGTATCTTGTTGACAATAATTTATGCATATTACACATGTGTCCTGGTTCATGAAGCTGATGGAGAAATTATGATTCCTATTTGTAGTGAGGGCAAGTACATGTAGAAAAGTTTGGCTAAGGAGGGGAAAGATTCATAATTTAGTCAGATGAGGACTTAAATTACATGTATAAGCTGGGAGTTATTAGGGAAGTTACATTTTTAAAAGACTCTTCGTACCTCCAGGTCCAATATCAGAAATTGAGAAAATGTGGCCATCAGATCATCCCTGAAAAGGAATTAAGCAGGACAGAGGTAAGTTCATGCCTTAGTTTGTTTACAGTTAACTTGGTTAAAATAGACTGTCTTGTCCCAAGTGTGATATTCCATGCATGCATGTATGAAAATCAATATAAATATTTTCATGATAGATAGTGGAAGAACATAGACATTTTCATGTCATGTGTTAGTGGTAAGAGATGGATCATTTTTGCAAGCTAGGTAAACATGTGTTGTTTAGAGGACAAACTGGGGTTTACTAGACTGCACTTATGTACTCATTTTTTTCATGTATAAGATTATAAATACATATACATTGTGTATACAACCATGGCTATCATGATTAAAATTACTAGATCTGGAAACAATTCAAAAGGTACAGTTTAAAATGCAAATATAATTGATTTCTTGCAAGGGAACATAAAGGGGATTATAAGTTGATATAGTTTTTCTTCTGGAATGTGTAAATTGAACGCCAAGAGTTGTTCAACTTACCAGTTTGTGCTCATAAACCTGTCCTGCCCCTGAAACAAACAGATGCACTGTTCATCAATGCACAGCAACGAGGGGAATAGAAGACAGAGTTTTCTTGAAATATGTGAAATTCATTGGAAAATTTATTTTACCTTCAACTGCAACTTATCGCTGTCATTAGCATGGTGTTCTCGATACACACTGATCGTTACTGCATTTAGTGCTTACAGCTGTATGACATACCCTTCTTTAAATTTCTGATAGCCACTCAAGGTTAAAGGAGTAATTCTGTCATATCCTCTTTGACCCAGTACATAATCAATATCCGAATGGGAGAAGGATCTTGGAGTTCTTTAGTTAGGTGTTATTTTCATTTTTGTCCTCAACAGCCGATGATAGGTTTTGAATTTCTCGACATGAGAGATTGAACAGTTTTTTCGAAAAGCCACGTCATCACAATGTAAGAGAAGACGGAATCGAGCAAAAGTAATGGGGAATAAAACTTTTGAGCTTAAACAAAATCCTCCGAAATTTTGGACCTTGTACAAAAACATTTACACACCCGGCTGCATAAATTGCATGCGGCTAGTATGTTTCATTGTAAACGGTGAGATTTACGAAACTCCATTCACTGTTTAAACGTTCATGAAGGTGGCTTCAGTTGGCACTGTACAGCGAGTTTCTAGGAACTTGAAGAAGTGTAGTAATAAAGCGTTGTTGAGTTAAACTAGCTTTGGTGATGTATTAACGTGCATGAATCTTAAAATATTACCTTTCTTGGAATGCAAAACAAAATTTTTATTGAAATGGCTCTGAAGTATCGATATTGGGTAAGGGTGGAAGATGCTTAGAATTATGGTCAGCGTTAAACTAATAATCATCGTGCTCTATAGCAGCACGACGGTTAGAGAGCTTTAAATGCATACACATGGTACTTACGTTTGCGTTGCTGTTAGAATTGGCCATTGTTCTTTCTCCTCCGAAAAATCTGCAGTATAACTAAAAAAGAGTTGATAGTGCTGTTAGTTTATACAAATTCCATAATGTTCGCATTTGCAACGTTTCAGTGATACTTTGACTCTCCAAGTTTTGGAACGATTTGTGGTAAAACAAGACCTCCAACAACAGGATACATTCTGCTGATCATGAATGATTGCGGCATGATTCCAAATTCGTGGATTAGATTTGATATCATCTGTTAGGCCCGGAGGGAGGCGACGTGCTTAACCCATACCGAGTTGGCTTCAGTCGAAACTGTGTGGGCACTCTTCTAGGCGACATAATGGTGGTAATCGCAGAATCGTTACGTGCGATACTTTCAAACCCGAAGAAAGTGCCTGGATCTATTTCTAAGAACGGTTTAGGGGAGCTGAAAAAGCGATATCTCGTACTCTTGTCACAATTCGTGAAATGTGCCATCAGAAGAGTCTTCTTCGTCACATGTGCGGTGAATTTTCTCAAAGTACTGCAAGACTCAGGAAAAATACTGCCGAAATAGTGCAAAATGGGAAATAAACCTACCTCAGCTGAGGTGGAGGAAAAATGTGTTGAAATTAGGTTTGCTTTCTCCTGATAAACCCATGTGGTTGCATCATCTCGCACAATTTCATGGATCAAACTCACACGTGATTGGCTCAGTCGTAATTAACAATAGGTTACACTCTGTCAGTCAAAGATGAATGCAATCAGAGCAGCCATGTTTCGGGTTGTGAAGCAAGTTTTGGGGTGGCAGTCGATTTGATTGAAGTTTTTGAAAACCACCTCTGGATTAGATAAAGAGAAAGTGAGAAATGAGTTGAACCCATTGCATCTACAGTATCCCTTACCTTAGTTTTTGTGGTCATGCTGAAGCAAGTGATGTCATGTAATGCTATGACTTCTAAATACAACACTCTTAGAATTCTCTCAGTTTTTTTTCCTGTGTTGGTAGTCCCTCATTGCGTTTTTTGTTAGGCGGTTAAAGGGAGGTACATTTGTATACTTCACGAAATACTGCTTTTACTTTGCTACAGCAGTGATAATAGGATTTGTAAACAAACGCGTTTAGCGCGGCCCGAATGCACGTTGAACGTTTGTAGTTTTTACGAGCAGTTTAGCTGTTTTGAATTCCTTCATTGCTATGATCTTAAAAATATTCATTCCAACTAACTGTTAGTGCTGAGAATGTGGTGTCTTACATCAAAACCATAATACCAAGTTGATTTTGTTAGTCATTTTCATTACCAGGTTGTCTGATAAGATGTTGAAATTGTCGGGAGAAATTATATTCCAATCACTACCAGGATTAACTTGTACAGCATAAATTTTGCGGTTAATATGGATTGTGCTCGGTAATACTCTATCCGTCACAGACAGTTAAAAATCTATCGCTTCTCTAATCAGGGCTCTCGTTAATCAAGTAGGTTGTCATGTTGATTGAGTTTTGCTGAATTAATTTTATTGGGTTTTGCTGGAAAGAGATTCATCTTTGAAGACTAACTGAAATCGAATTTTACGTACAGAGAGGAACTGAGGTCGAGAATAACATTTCTTTCCACCTCTGAATGAACTTTTATGAACGTCATGAATTTGAAGAAAATTTGTGAAATTTATAGATCACAAAGTAAAAAAGCCTAATTATCGATAAACTTGCCTTGCATCTCCCTTTTGTCTAATGAACATGACATTCAACGAAGTCAAAGTGAAGGAACCCTTGTCTATGTCTGCGATATCGATTCCGTAGGAAATCAGTTCATTAATCGACGGCCGATCGTATTGCAAGCTGTCACTTAAAGGATACCAATCCCTGAATTTTTATAGAGAAACTTCCTTAAAAATGAACAAATTCTTGGTCTTCCATCAAAACGATGTATGACGTCTCTAATAATGTTTGCCTTTATGAGATCTTTCTTTACAATCTTCACAAAACGCTCGTGCCTCCTATATCCCCGACCATCCTTCAATGTTCCATTCCCCTAGTGATTTCAGTGAGAAGAGGCGCTCGTTTTGGTCGTGTCAAGAGTTGGGTCTGCACTTGTGTTTTCCTTGTCCATGCTTCCCTGTGCTGGCTTGATTGTACGTCCATCCTGAAGCGCGGTTATGATATGAAATAAGATTATAAAAGAGTGTTGTACGATGGTACGCCGTGAACATTGTTGGCCACGGCAAAAAGAGGACAGGTAGTTTGGAAGTGGTTTGATGTACATTAGGAACTCTAACTGAAACTACGTTCGAACCGTTGTGATATTGTCAGCAGACGTACCTTCTCTCTCTGTCGACGAAGTGCGCTTTGTTGACATGATCTATTGCAGTATAAAGCACTCTTCGCTTTCCGTATGCTACGGTAGGTGTCTCCTCACAGTTCAATGAGGGAACATTATGTTATGAAAGTTGTGTGAATCTTTTGAACAAGGAATTTTTTTTCTGTGTGTTTTAGGTAAATAGCCCACGGGGAAATATTAAGCATGTGCAAGTCCAGGCGCGTTCTCTCAAACTTGTTTACAATCAGGGAATGAGTTTGGAGTGTTTTTATCCGGCATTTCAATTTGGTAGCTATATAATTCTCGATGAAATTTCCGTTTTCATCATAAGAATTGACTGCACATGGAAGTCTATAACGTTTGAATACGATAAGCTGACTTTGCTATGGATTCCTTAGTAATTGATATAAATCTTTTGCTGTTGATGACCTCATTTGAAACTGAAAGCATTTAGGATGGGATGATTTCAATAATGACTGGGCAATTTTTTTTTCTAGAAGTGAGCATGTAGTTCACAATAAAAATATGAAGCAGCTACTGATCACAGTTTATATACATTTACTGCTCTTTAGGCATGATAAAGTACTGTTTGGCCGTTAATCAGGACTGGTCGAGAATTTTTTTGAGGTTAAGAGCCGTCAACTATGATATTTATTTATGCTGAAAGCCTGAAATGACAATCAAATGTTAATAGGTTTAGGGAATTTTTTAAAGCACAAATATGTTATCATAGCTTATCGTAAATTATTCAACAGTAAACTGAGGAGCAGATTGAGCGAAACGAAAGTTTAGTGGGAAAATTAAACAATTAGAAAAATTTTATTTTCAATTTGGAGTTGCTCACTTTTTCTATAAATACTACCGATTAATTTTCAAGCCGTTTGACGCAAGCGAGTCAAACAGTGCTGTTAAAATAGGATTGCGTTCATAGTGTTTTGACATGGCTGCACTTGGAAAATCTTCTCTGGGACAAGTCCTGTCGAAAGGGAATTTTTCGTTTTGAAAACGGAAGTTTGGTCTGTCAGTGTAGCGTGATTTTAATTTGGTGAAACTACCTCATTAAAATACTTGAAATATAATTACGGGGAGATTAGGCATTCTGAAATGGCATGTAAAAATACAGACGGTTGACGGTATACGACGGATTGTGTGACGGTATATGATCACGAAACTCAAAATTGTCACGTGATCGCGTGAATGTGAAGTGAATCTTTCTTTCACGGGGCGTTACGTGGGCAACCGCTTAAGAAGAAAAACAAAAGGATTACAAAAAGAGCATCTTTCTGCATATTGAGCCACCTAATTTACCAAAACTTGCCTATACTACTTCTGACATGGACTAGAAGGGAGACAAAAAGATCGTGGGAAAGGAAATATATTAAAGGATCCTAGGCCCCATTTATATGTTCTCGGGTACCCGAGACAACTTTACGGAACGTTTATATGAAATTTAGCATCTGCTGACCCTCGTTTGGCCAGGTTACATACTTGACAATATGGCGGACGACAGGAAAAAATAGCTGTTAACATCCTGGTCATGGCGTGCGCACGCATTTTTTGTTCGAGTTCTCTTGTCTCGGGTCGGCGAGATACTAACGAAACGGGGTTTATGGAGTATGAGTGACAGACTTGAATCAATTTTTATTGTAACAATATATGACTTCACAATTGGACTTAAACACATCTAGACAACGGAAACAACGCTGGTTTTGTTATACAACAATGTATTTGTTCAATTTTAAGAACAAACGATCATGCAGCTTTAATTTATGAAATTATTAGATAGAGCTCTTAGATATAAAGAAATAATCAATAAAGATATGAAAACGTTGATATCATCGGTCAGTTGGTCCACATAATCGTTCTCCTGAAAATATGAAATGATAAAAACAGTTTGACAGGTAGACATTTTATTGGTCGGTAAGCGGGCATTTTAGGTTACATTCAAAGGAATTATTTGTTGAGTTATTCACCTGTGCAGCACGGCATTCTTCTTCTTCGCAAAGATTAGTCGTACAAACATCGTCATCTCCAATCCTGTAACAGGAAATTATTAAAGTGACCTCCGGTTACATATTCATTGACACTTAGATTAATTTTCACAATTTTCTTCAAGTTAAATTGATTTCTATAGTCCTACTCGTACTCTAATGATTCTTGGAAGCTGGAAAACTGATTTCGCATCAGTATTTTGCCTCGCTCCCAAGAAGTGGCTTTTTAGCTTAGTTAGTAGTAACGCCCAATTAGTATCTGGAAGGCAGGGATTCGAATCTCGTCTTAGTCTGTTAGAATCATATATTCTTTGTTTATCATCCGCAGGTCAAAGTATTATTTATTTCATTTAACTTTAAGGATAATTCCGTTAAAGCATGATCAGACTGAGTCACTGAAAATTTTTAAAGAAGTTTAAACTGACTGAGAATGGAGACAATGGCCATAATTCGCTTATTTCAAGAGAATCTTTTTGTCGTCTATGATGTATACTATTTTGGATCACATACCCAGTAGGAATGTCGTCTGTACATTGTTGGATCCTTCGTCCGGATGTAGTCCATCCTAGGGGTGGATAGTTGTCGTCGTCCTAACAAAGAAAAAACAGTCGTGTTCCGTTATTCTGACGGTGTTACGTCAATTTCAGTGCGGGATGACACAAATCTCGAGACAGTCGGGTTTGAGAGAACGTGGCTTCTAAACATTTCTAGAAACGCCTCATCGCGAATTTACATCTAGGTTCATGAGGCCGATTGCGTTTTTTAGAGTATTTATTGTTCGACACGGTGTACAATTTCGTCATGCTGTGTTCTTGCGTAACGACATGGCGCAGTTTGGAAGCTTTGATCGCTTGTTTTATTCAACGGATTCGAAAAAAATAATATTAAAAAGCTTTTGCAAAGTACAAACTTTTTCTTCAACTCTTACCTGATTAGAATTTTCCAAGCAACTTGAAGTGTTGTCTAGCAAGCGCACTTCTTGTTGATCTTCGATGGAATCTGCGTCATGCTGAGGTATTCTAGGATGTGTACAACAGAAACATTGTTTTTGATAATGAGATGCCTTTCTATTACAGTCGTTTATTACCAGTGGAATAAACCAAAGCAAATAGAAGTTTTATCAGATTCCTCTACGGGAAAGAAGAACCCTCAAAATTTGCCTCGCTCCCAGTGTGAGGCTTGGTAGCTCAGTTGAGAGTAGCGCAGGGCCCAACTAGTCGGGAGTTTAACCCTTTAACTCCCAGATGTGATTGAAACCTAACTTCTCTTTTTAATATCCATACATTATCCAGCAAACAAGGAATGAGAATACTCATGCTGATCAGGTAGATGTTTTTTTCGTGATAGAACACCAAATTCTTGCAACTGACATATTTGGAAATGTGTAGTAGCCAAAGAGGAAAATTTACAGTCAGATCTTGGGAGTTAAAGGATTAAGAAACGACGACACCGCCGCCGTGGATAACGTCGGTTAAAAAAATGAACTTATATTTTACCTAGAAATCTCGCGATACTTTAGGATCATTTAGTTTGTTTCTCACTGTTAAAGACATCTCGACACTGATTATGGAACTTGGCGTTAAATTAGAAATTGTTATTTCACATTCACGTTCTCCAGTTTGCTCATTTCACGTTGTTGTTTTGCAGAGGACGCAAAGAAATGTACAAAGATTTGTTACGCTCGTGCACAGCCATTGTTCTGTTCATTTAACCTTTTGTTTAGTGACGTTCCCGTTTCCGTTGCCGTCGTAGTTTTCTTAAACTTCCTACTATGTGGGCAGGGGTTCGAATCCCGTCGAAACCTAAGTATTTTAGGCTTTTTTTCTGCAATTGCTAAAATTGTAGCTCGCCTGCGAGGATCATGGCTTTATTTTATTTCAATTCGCTGGGCAAATTAAATTTATTTCATTACAACTTATACCAGACGTTATGATGTTACGTCTTTGATGCCAGAAAAAGCATATTTAGGGAAAAGAATACGTTTACGTAACTAAACTTCTTAGATATACTCACTCTTTGCCTGCTTCTTCCTCGTCAGAAGAGCTTGTATCTTCACCCTACAAATGTTCAAAAAACTAATCAAGCGTTCAATTCTGTAATCTCATCAGAATCTTTTAAAAAATGTTTCTCTTCAACACTAGTTAGACCAGCACAATGCTTGCAGATGTACATTCTTCTTTAAAATTGGTTATCTCTAGCAGCCACAGCAACCTTTGAGACAAAACTAATTGTATCTACAACAGAACTAAGTACTTTCTTTAAGAGGTTGTGTTATGAATTAATCTAAAATGCTTTTTTATTTTCATTATTATTTTAAAGCTAGGTGATGATGTAGGTGTAACCTCACGGAATGAGTTGTTTGCTTTGGATGAATAATTTAAATACCATAACATCATGTCAAGGAGAATTGATAGTTTTACCTTCTCGTGTTTCGCTGCCATCTGAAATAACAAAAAAATATTCTTGTTAGAACAAACAACGATAAATCCCATTGTGCAGTATTATAGAACACGGTTAAACATATCTGTAATCAGCGCCAAAAAAAAAAAAGGATTCAGATAGAATGAATGTAGGCAGTAGTCATTAGAGAAGTTCAGTGACCATTACATGCAATAATTTATGACAATGGTCTTCAGATATTGCCGCAGTTTTGTGGTTAACCTGACGAAAGAAGGAGAAAACTTCAATTAATACCGCGAAAATAGAGTAATTTGTTATGAGTGTACTCGTGTTGTTAGCTAAATGTTAGTAATTAGTTGGAGACTGTCGTAACCGTCAGCGGTAAATGTGAAAGGAAAAAAACATCGTCAGTGTGGAAATTGGTTTGGCGCCATTCAAATTGATGAATATCCGTTTCGCCAACAAGCGTTTTAAAACATTGTCTAAACATTTGTCCTTGTAGCTAATTGTGCGACCGGAAATGGCAGATGGACTCAAACAACCTTTTATTTTGTTTTGTTCATTGTATCCTCTTTAACCCTTTTTCCTCATAAAGAGCACAGCAGGTGTGTCTATGCTTTGGCTTGCAATATAATCACTGTTAATTTAATGCGATAAGGTATTGATAAGCTGTGATTGACCTTCATCTCCGGAAGTGTGGTCGCGTTGTTTTAATGCGTTTTGATACTGCCTTAGTGGTTTATTTGTGGTATTTTGTCACCAAAACGATGATGTTTTGATGATGTCGTTGAATTAATTGCCACGAATGCGTAATCTTGTTTAAGTATTTGGAAGTGTTTTGATTATATTTTGAGCTTCCGTAACGAACTAACGCGTGAATAATTGTTAGAAAGGTAGAAAGATAAGGAACTGGCTTTCAAGGCAGGCGTCTTATTAGTGCGAGCTAACGCTATAAACTCGCCATCGTTTATCCGACTGGCCATGTTTGATTTGGAGTTAGAGTGAACGGTGGGGAAAGACCTTCCCCACACTTACCCTCTCCTTATTTTAGACCGACTCACTCTCTCCCCAGCCTTCCGCTGCCACTAAATCAAAGATGGCGGCCATAATTTTCGTGGAGAACATACTAAGCTCTCGCTCGCTTAAATTACGCTTGTTCTGCAGGCTAGAATTGAACCTGCTTTTCTTTAGCGTTCACCTAAGGCACGTGCTGTTACAACACGGTCTAGTGGCTAATAGGTTTGGTGACGAAGGGCATATTTCAATCGTTGTGTAAATTTGTGTACAATGCAAACGTGAAGGCGGATGAAGTAAACAACGAGGGAATCTTTGAATCATCGAATAACATAAATGTAAGACAATTATAGTGTAAAAACATACTCGTTAAAAAAGAAAGAACCACATCACACCTGTATTCACAGCAAACGGAGAGGTTGGTAGAGATTAAAACGGTGCTAAATAAATAAAATAATAAAAGTAATAATCCCGTCCTGTGTCTCCCTCTTTAACAAAATGTAAATAGGATAATCCTGACAATCTGGATGGTTCAGGTTCGCAGAAGAGTTACTGGAGTTGAAAACATAAAATGATTATCAATACCTTGGAGTAAACACGGTAAAACGTGTCTATGTTCTCTCCTAATCTGGTCAAAAGGTTCGTTCGCACAGGCGTCGACTTTTGCGAGAAGTAGAATACATAGCATAGTCACATAGATTTCAATGCGCATGGTCCAACATATGTACCTATTGTCGCTCGTGCGGTGGGCTCATGCAGTATGGTTACATTTTACTTATCTGTGGAAATAGGAAGATAGGGAAGCCAAATGCGAAATAGTCTCGAAAAGCGGCCCAGGCACTGAAATTACGGCTGTAGAAGGCTACGCACCAGTCGAGCAAACTCCTCCGCGTCGGCAGGTTTTTCATGATTTAGAGGTCTTTCGTTACTCTCTTGCGTTAGGCGGTAGTGAGAACTTTATCCCAAGCTGTGCGAATTTGAGCAGCTTCTCACCGCTCAGTAATTTTGAAGTCATTCCAGTGGACGGATGTTAGATGTTGTGATTCGGGGCATTGTGTCGTCCCGTTCCAGAGGGCAGGCGTAGATGAGGAGTCCAGAAAGCGGACAGTATCAGTAATGTTGAGTTTAGAACGTCGTCGTGATTTCTGTGGTTGACATTTATACTGATGTCATGTCATCATTCATTAACTTAATGCGCTTAGACCTGTTGTCTTCAGTATTGTTAGGCGACTTTTAGTGATGGATCATTTGAAGTTGAATACTCTGTTTTAATCGATATTATTGTTTAGCTTGGCTTTTTTTGAAATCGACACGATTTAGGAGGTGTCTCAGCTTAATAAGAACAGAACTGCTCTCATGAGCCAGTAATCTTATCTTAGAAAGAGGATGGCAGTGACTTTCCTTTTAATATGTGAAATATCGTCGTTCGCTTCTGAAAACTTAAAATTTCACGGTAAACTTGGTGACCTCTTCGTCTGAAGACGTCCGGTTACCCGGACAGATCCTAGTAGCTATAACAAAGAAATGTTATACCTCTGTCGAAGCTTGTGACTTTTTTCATGGAAAAGTAAACATATGTTTTGTTCTGAAGAGCGGACAACTTAGACGAAGAAGATAACGAATTGCAAAGAAGAACGAAGGAGTTTTTGTTGTGCTGAACAGTAGCAATTTTTGATTACGCAGAACGGGAGTGATGCCTTTTCACATAATCTTGGGACTCGATGAATGGTACAATAATCATGTTAAGGTACTCTACGTGAATTATTTCACTAACCTGCGGCTAAAGGAACTCCGCGGTTACTTACCCGGCGCACTATACCAGTTCACTTCAGACTGTAAAGCACCAAGTCGTTTGAAGGGCTTCCTTTTTCCTCTATATCCTTCTTTTCTCATGAGGAAGAACCTTTTAGTAAGTCTCACTGTCCGTGTTGAGGCAAGCATCCATAAGGGAAAATCCCTCTCCAGAATTTGTTTAAATGAAAAATACATCGTTTACTGTTCTGTTTCGCGATGATTCGACAAGATTCACTTTCCGTGGAAATCATTGCGTGATTACGATTTTAATTTTTCCGAGAAATGTTTTGATTTGTGGAACGCTTTTCAAAGAAAGCCAAAAATAATGCGGTGGATTCTCAGTTTTCAGTTTTGTTGCTCGGTGTTCCTAATTTGTCTGTTCATTGAGCAGCTAGAAGGCTGATGTGTTTCTTGATTAAACCTAAGTCTAAAATGTGTGAAGATTAATACTTAAGAAGAAAATCTTATCCGGAAAGGCAGCTAAAACCACACTGTTTTAGCACAATCAATTTGACTTCGACAGAGTCGATAAAATCCCAATATTTCTCGGACTGATAATGTGTTACTGTTTTACCAGAAAGCTGTCGGGGAACTATCCTTTGAGCGTGCCCTAAATAAGAAGGCATGATGATGCACAGGTTTGTACACGTATAGCTAAGAAAACTAAGACAGGTATCAAAAGTGCTCCTGTTCCTTTATTTCTTTTACTCTAAATTGTCAGAAACGAAAGCGGAAACTAAGCTCATGAAAATTAACGCGACTTTATTTAACGCAAAGTATGCAGTGTCGTGTCAATTTCACATTGCTTAAATTTGGTACAAGTTGTTAGATATATCGCACAATTAGATGTATTCGGTATTCTCCAGTTTTCATTTCAACAGGTGAACTTTCTCAATCGCGTAACACCGTACAGTGTTAAGCACATTTAGTGTTTGATTCGTCAATAAAATTCGTTGAAGATATTTCAAATCAACGAGGTCCTATCTTATGCTATCAAAGAAACCTCGGTGAAAACATTATCAACCCTGTGGGTGACCAACGTAATGGGTGTGTCAGAGGTGATCGTGTTGGTTCTTAGCCATGCTGAAACTAACAATACGATACCATTTCTCATAGAGCCCTGGAGCCCAGCTTGAAGAGAAAATAGATAAAATGAAATATGTTAAAACTTGGAATACTGACTGTGCAAAAAGCGAATTCAAGTGCATTTATTAAAACGATATATCACGTACAACAGATTGATTCAGTTTTTTAAAACAATAACACATAGCATTCTTTCCAAGGCGAGCCATCTTGAGGACTGTGAATCTACTGCATCTATCAAATGAGAAGACCAATATTAGCTTTGGAGACAGTCAAAAAAGATTGAGATTGCCTTAAAGAATCCTTAGTTGAATTTGAAGGATGTACTCTTCACATAGACATTGGGTGATTCAAGGCTCTTCTGTAAAAGTCATGACATCCATGGCTATTAAAACTTATCAAATCGAGGATATTTAGTTGCCATAGTGCATTTCTCTTTAACTTGCATAGGTTGTTGAAATGGAAAATCTTCATTTTTGATTTTTCAAAAGCATTTTATGGAAATCAGTTGATACGTCTATTATTAGTCTGGGATAGAGGTTTCGCCCTTTCCCCCCCCCTTCCTCCACAAATATCCACACACCCACACGCACGCACACACACACCCATACAAAGGGTTCTGCTGCAAATTTAAATCGCACTAGCCTGTCAGCTTAAATCTAAGTTAAGTAACTTCTGTCAAAAGCGATAGAGCTCTCTTTAAAAAGTTTCTTAGTTCATGTCAGTGTCAATTGCGTGCAGTAATTAATAATCATGCTCGTGGTCGTACCTGCTGGTGCTCTATATGAATCCTATTGGCTAAGTTCTCTAACCGCACTATATTGAGGATACTAAAAGATGGAAAAGTATACAATGTGTCATTCGAATCTATTTCTTTAATGTATTGTAGTAGGGCTGTGACAAACGGAAGAGGTACATCTGCCTCAACAATTACATTTGTGCTAATAATAAAATCACTCGATAACTAGTGTTCCTCAGTGTTTTACTCATCCCAAGTTGAACGGAATGATGGGAAAAATGTAGAGGGAGGATTTAAGTTATTGACTCATTTGTTTTGACAACCTTTTCAGCGTTGGTTCTTCTCTTATAAAGAGACTGAGGTTGACTCTCTATTTGTGGCTCCCTCCTAATAAATTTGTAGACAATTAAGTAACTTACATTGAATCTTGAGGTGTGAACGCATTCTGTGTAGAAACGAAAGGTTACAGTTACAGGTTTCCTGAACCAAGACTGGATAGCAGTGATGCAGAAACATGCCTTAAAATGTATTTGATTGCATTTCCAAAAATTTCCTTTTCCAATTAACAAAACTTGAATGGAGGGGACTCTTAATAACGTTTTCTAGTCCACAACAGACCGCAGTAGTGTTACCTAACACAGCATGATACTGCATCATCAGTGTCTTGAATTATACAGGAGCATCAAAAAAAGTAATTTTGTGGCTGACAAATAATTGAGCCTAAGCTTGATTATGATTAAAACCATGTTGTGATTGTGATGTTTAGCAGGTAGTTTGACTTTGTGAGCTTTTTTTTTTAACCAGTGCTCAGGCATATCTCAGCAAAAAGAAAATACACCAACTTTGCAGAATAGTGTGACGTGCTGTAGTAAAGCAAGTAAAAATGTAAACTTAAAGTAAGGCTGACTGCTACTTAATAGTTACCCACCCGTGGGAAATTTCTTTCAGCAAGACACTGGCACCTGAAAGAGAACATACAAAACAATGTCAATTTTTCTTTGTCTTGGAAGACTCTAGGTCATGATTTTTTCATGGGCACTATTATTATTATTATTATTATTATTATTATTAGTTGTTTATTATTATTATTATTATTATTATTATTATTATTAGTAGTAGTAGTAGTAGTAGTAGTAGTAGTAGTAGTAGTAGTAGTACTTAAATAATCGATCTGCTCTTTGTTTCAAATAGATAGGGCAACAATCTTCTATTTTCGAGATAAAAGCCACATCCTAGGCTTTACCTGTACGTTTATGGAAGAATCACTTACCTCAGGTGCAGTCTGCAACCTCTCCTAGGGCTTTTCACAGGAACGTTCCCCTGTTGAGAAAATAATGCCCTGAATTTAAATAAAATTGTTATGGTCCTTGCAAAGCTCAGGTAACGAAGAGAGAATCGCCTGTATCAATCAAATTTCTCGTCTCTGCTTTGTTTGGTTTTTAGTAAGCTTTTTTTCCTCAAAGGAAAATAACCAATAGAAAATTTTTACACGTTCATGGTAATGTAAAATATATTACTTACCAACTAAGAACACTAACATTACCACAACTGACACCATTTATGAACGAATTTAATTTAGATTTACGTTGTTTAAGAAATTGCTTTGTGATAGTGCAAACTTCACCTAGTGGAGTAATTGTCTTACCTGAACACTTTCAACTGTAGGACAATCGCTACGGGCACGATTTAGTTCCGAAACTATTCCTTCGTCCCTATAAGTGAATGATTTTACATCAGAAAAATCGTTTTAGTCAACCCAAACATGTCTTAGACAAAGACCGCCTCATCTGATTCCTCTACCTCACATATTCTTGGTATTTTAAAAAATGAAGTAAACGAAGCAAAACAAACAAACAAAAAATAAAATAAACCAGCAAACAAATGGTTTCCTAATCACTGATTTTACCTCTTCCTATTACAGTATGTATGGGAAAAATTAAATTGTAATTGTTTGTGAACCAAGGTTGAAGCCCAAAAGCCATTGTAGGCTCAATCAATCAGAATCTTTACAAAGTGTATGATCATGTACTGCCGTAATACGATAAGTATTAATGCTGTGGCCTGATGTACATTTTCAATGGAAGCACCCACCTTAATGAACATTTCATTATTGACATAGTGTAGCTCTGAGATTTCGATGCCAAACCAAACCCTATCTATTAGGCTGAATTCGTTCTTTCTGCTAAGTTTCTAAAAAATCTGGTGACATTGCAAGGAAAAATTACTCATTGGTCACTCCTGGCTTTGAAAGAGTTAATCTACAATGATTTTTTCTTTGCATTATTTATTCTGGTTAGGTTAAATCCATCTTACAACGTTACTATTGTTACTCTCTGATCAATACCAATTTTGAATTGGGTTGACAGAAGTAATACTGCCTCTTTATTTTAAGGGAATCGAATTAAGATGAAAGGAATTAAAGTAACACTTATGAGACTCATAAAATTTGTAGTCACCTATGTAGCAATTGTTTAGGATGTCACGTGGCTGCCCCACCCCAAAATATTTTTCTTGTGAAGAAACATTTTATAATATCCTTAAGAAACACTTGCAAATATTAGAAATGATGTTGTACTGTGGCACTCACCTTAAAATGACCATGTGGGCCAGATCTGTGTCAGAGACCTAAAATTCAAAACAAAATAATTATCAATGATCCTTGAATATTTTGGTGAACTGGAAAATATTAAATTCAAACCATATTCCCTTCTTACCACCTTTGATGTCAAAAGCTAACTTACCTAGAATTGTATCATTATTTAATACTTTAATATAATATTTTTCTCGTCAGCTTATTTGTTGCAGCTAGATTGCCCCAAATAAGACCAAAACTCTTCTTGTAAGTTAGACCTGTTGTTTTAGCCCTTTAACACCTAAGATCTCATTAGTAATTCTCCTTACTGTCTGCAATATAGTTCTTGTGATGTTAGTTTGGAGAATTTGGTATTGAATCAACTTATAATCCCCTAATTGATATTTTTCTTTTTTCTTATCAACTGTCTGCTTGACTTCGTAATAATATTGTAAGGAGAAATTCTGTCTTGGTCATTCATGGGAGTTAAAGGGTTAAGTGTTTTGATAGTGAAGGCAAATAAACAACAGATGGAATGAAATTAGAATTTCGCCTCAAAAGAATCCCCAATTTTCCCTTCCACTTAAGGGTTAAGGTAATCAGAGTTTTCTTTATGGTTTTTTGAAATGAAATGAAACTCTTGTGTTTGGCTTTCTTGTGTTTTCTAAACCTTATTATTTTTTCCTTTTTCTTTTCATTAGTTATAGGGATAGGTGTATCTGATGGTTCTTTTCTTTGCATTTATTTCAGCAGCATCCATCATGCTGCGAACTGACCACTGGCTTCGCCTGGCTTCCAAACATATCCAATGGCTTAGAAAAAGATTTATGTAAGTGAAAAATAATTATAGATTCTTTTTAGTTTGTAATCTACACAAAGAGGAGGCTTATATCATTATTGAATAGGGATTGAGGGAAGGAAGGAGGGGTGAGGGAGCTCTTCAGTTCTTTGGTTACCCATAAAACCTGTAATTTCAAGTAGTTACTCCTGTTGTGTGTAGAAACCTTCAGAGTTGTGATATCTATGTTACTCGGTCATGCAACTGTCTCGGATGAGTCCTCCTTTGTTACAATGCTCTCTGCTACAAATTGCTATGCTAATGAGTCAGAATAGAATCGATAATGAGTTACTCAGACTCCAAAAATTGTTCCTGGAGAGCTCTTATACTTACGATTCGTCCTATTCCTTGATCACCCATATCAGCCTGAAATATAGACAACAGGCTAGCTTTTAGGAAAAATTGCCATGTGCGAAAACAAGTTTACAAGAAACTTGTCTCTATTTAATCGATTTTTCCCCATTTTCAAAATGTTTCAAGCTCTGCATGGAGCATCAAAGACCAATGTTTTCTGAACCTACTCAAGGCCCTTTTCTAGTTCTCTACACCATTTTACTGTAAAAAGATCGCTTCAAGTTCGCTTCAAGCTTCAACATTCGAACTTCGATGGCCAGTCGAATACAACAAGTAGCGAAAATTAGAGACGATAGCGGTGAATTTGCTTCCATTGGCAAGGAACTCTTCTAAACCCTACCTCATTGATAACCGATGTGTGAACGTTCCGGTACAATTTGTAGCAACTATTATCTGTGTAAAGCATTAGGTTGTGTGGCGCCTACCTTGACCTTATAGTAAACGAAATGCTGCCTTTCTCGCAGTATACTGAACAGTTGAGACCGTCCAACTTGGTATCACATGTTTTTAAAAACCGCGGGCTCAGTCGAGGAATGAGCCCACGCTCCTCACCATAGTAACACTAACATGCCGAGTGAACAAGTGTGCCCTAGTATAGTGTATTCTTTCGATGGCTTTTAATCTTCTGACAAGTTCTGTTGCGGTTTATTTCCATTTCGAAGGTGATTCGTGAATTGTCTTTTCTGTCCTTTAGTATTCATGTGATGTGCTGAATCCCATTCACTGCGACAGCATCCATGTACCTGAAACAAAAAATTTTTATCGATAAGCGATCGACGAACAAACCATTTAGTTAGTCCTGTAAAGATGTAAATCATAAAAGTATGAGTTAGTTAGACAGATATGAAGAGGAAGCGGTTGTAAAAATATTTACAAACCTTTTAATGTTTCCGTCGATTTGTTGAAACCCCGCACGTCGTCTGGAGAGAAATAAGTGCTAGTACGGCGAAGGAAATGAATAACCTGAAACATGATCACTTTCTCTATTGCTACAAGCACCTATCTCGAATTATTTCCTGAAGCGTTTCGGTTAGTTACCGCGACATATTCCTCCCCTTGCTCTCTGCGGGATGCTTGGATAATTTTGGTGGCATTTCTGGATAAATACAGAACTAAATCGCCTCCGAACCTCAAAACAGACCCATTTAGATCAGATACGATTCAACGATATGGTTGCCATGGTAGTTTGGCTCGCTTCATTGGACATGTGTATTTTTAGCTCTGAGACATTTGTTTCATAGGCTGACCATTATGTAAAATATAACTGTTGACATTAAACAGATTGTGTCTTAATCCTAATTTTCGTTTTAAAAGACCAAGGGCGTTTCGAAATAATCTGGCGATGACTAAAAGATCGTCTTGAAGACAATTTTTCTGGCTTCTTTCACTGCAATTTTCTTTAATTGCAGCTTCTATGTAATCCGCAGGTCAAATTACGATTTATTTCCTTTAATTGAGATCAGTTGCATTAACAGAAAGAAAGAACCCACGAAAAAATATGCCGCGCTCCAGCGTTTGGCTTCTTAGCACAGTTAGTGGTAGAGCCCTTTTTCTATAATTTTCATTTGACTGATCATTTTGTACAAATAACCGTATTCTACTTTCCTCTAGCCGTATCAATTTTATATTGGAGATATCTTCGGGCACTGGGCAAACTACTGCCACTGGGAAGAAAAGAATATAAGGATTTGCGCAGAAATGAATTATTTATTTATTTATTTATTCGATTATTCAATTATGTAATTTTTTTCTTTTTGGCTGTTGCTCTACTTTTAATTTCTTTTCTTTTTTTTTTTCGTGTACCTACTCGTGATGTCTAGTCACGCATCAATAGTCAGAGAAAAAAATTACTTTTTACTTCTTCTCATCAATTAGTCAATCAGTTTCGTTTATTTCTTACCTCAATACCGTTATTAAATCTGATCGGTTTGTCATTTTCTAGCTGTTGACGAAACATATAGTCCATATCTTCTCTTATGTACCTTTAGCCTTGAGGAATTTTAATAATCAAACTAAGCCTGTCCTGAGTGACCAAGAATGTCATTTTTTTTGTGACTTGTAATGGAGTTTGTCAAGCTAGATTATCCGCTATTGCCCATGGAAGCTGTAAGTTTTTGCTGGGAGAAATATCTTTTAAACTGGTTAAATTGTTTTGATAAATCTGATCAAGAATTTATACTTTGCGGAACAGTTTTACTGGAAACAGAGTATAGTACAATAGTTAAGGCTAGATCTGTAAGCAACTCAGAAAGCCAAAAAACTGTAAAAATCAACTTTCTCCCTGACTTCTTACATTGATCTTTGTGAGATGAAATACAAATGACATCACTGCATTGGATTTTTACCAATGGTAGTACTTTTTTGGCCACAGGACCAATAAAATGGGAAAAATAACTTAATCTAGGAGACATTGATTGGAAATCAAAATAACAATTTATCAAACTTAATCTCACCACACAAAAAAAAATGTTCACCGTTGGTACAAAAACAACTAGGAAACAAAATTTAAAAAAACCTCAAAAAACGAAAAAGAAAGATGCTTAAATGTATCCCTCCTCTTTCTTCCCTTCACAAGAAGTAGGTGTTGACAGCTAACCATCCTAAGGAAAAGATAGGGAACTCTAATTAGTAATTAGTTTGAGGTAGGATTCTTCATATGTCGCTCCATAGTTAGATAAGGATATGGTAAGACAGCTTTTGTCTTTTTTTAATATTGGATAAAGGTTTTTCGCTTTGCTGAAGTGTTGAAGCTGTTCTGTTATTTTTTTGAAAATACTTTTCAAGAATATTATCAACAGTGAGAAAACCTATTTCAGATTGTATTTATCTGTTCCTAAATTTCTTAACTTCAATTGAGTTGTGACACACGTCTTCTTGCACCTAAGAGTACAAGGACGGTTGAAGTTTTTGTGTTGTGTTATGTTTCCCCTCTTTTTATCCACAGTTGCATTATTTGGTCAGTTGTATAGCTGTCACTAAAATAAATAAAAACCGCAATGTCTTTCCCTTCTTTGCTATTGTGAATTTTCTTATGAGCGCCGTATCGTCTTCGACTTTATTATGATCTCTGCAAAGTAAGGATGATGATACGTTCTTACTTTGTGCATTTATTTCAACCAAAAACTTGGGATTATCAAGTTTGATGTGATTGTAGGATTTGAGTATATTACTTACCTTACTTCCGTTTGCTGTCCCGGAAACTTAAGGGAAAAAAAAACGCTCATTAGATACGTGAAACAGTTTTAACTGTGTGGGTTTACACTGTTAATTGCCAGCTATAGTTTTGCCCACCTCCTTTTGATACAGAGAGTCAGGTTGAACAACGAAAGAAAATGCACAGTGTTCTGTTCTTAGAAATAATATTAGATCAAGAGGTAGAATTCATTAGTTGTAACACTTGCCAGTGTAGAGTCTAAGATGCTTTGCATTGTTTCATCGGATAAACTTGGCAGAAAGTGTTGAGGTGTGGAAGTACTAAGGAAAAGAAAAAAAGAAAATGACTTCAGAAGCTAATTTTTTGTATCGTATGAAGGGAAAATTAGATGATAAAAGATTAAGAAATTAGGTGAAAGTGCCGACAATTATAGCCTCCCTCCAAGGGAAAAATAAACAAAATTGTTTCTTTAAATGGCCTTGGTAAGATAGAATGGTAATTCAAGGCAACCTATGAAGTAAGACATAGATCACCATCTGTCACTGGAGTAAAATCTAATTAGTAGTGTGTGAATGTGTTGATTGTGGAAATTAGGAGAAGTGGCTTACCCGGGGTCTTTTTCTTCAACTTCCTGAAAGAAACAAAATAAAAAAAAACCTTTCACTGACAAATATTGTGGGACACAATAATAAACATCTATTTCATAAACATAAATTATACTTCAACTCGTTATTAAGGCAGTTAAACTACTCTAGACAGAAGGTGCATGACCAGCTTAATCTGGCTTTGAACAGTTTTTCTCCATCTTTAGGACTGTAAAAAATAAAAGTTTTTTTGAGCTAGTTAATTGTAACAATTGTCTCAAGTGGTGTCAGGGAATTGTAAGGGAGGTAATTAAAATAAGGAGAAGTGGCTTGCCCAGGGTCCTCGTCAACCTACTGAAATAAATAAGATAAATAACCTTTCAGTGCAAAATACAAAGGGACACTCAGTAAACACCCATTTCATAAACTGTACATCAATTAGTTATAAAGGCAGTTAAAAATTTTACGCTGCTATGGACAGTAGCCGTTAGGCAAACATAAACTTAAGTTGATATTGTTAAAACAGTTGAAAACTCACCATGGATTCTACTTTTCCTTCGTTGGAGCTTTAAATAACACAGGGGTTTTGTGTTAATTTAAATGCAGTCGTTTTTGTGCAATGAAAAACTTGAGGGGTGTAGGAGAAGCTATGAAAGTAACTCTGAGGAATGTGGAACTGGAGGATGAGTTTGGTTCAGTCACAGTTATTTGCTTCTGACCAAAATCTGCTGTATGAGTGGTGGGTTGGCACTAGTATATTACCTATCCTTACCTTAAAGGGTTGTCCAGTTCCTGTAGAGCAAGAAAAGTTATTTGTTACACCTGCTCTTTCACTTGAAAATCTTTTGCGGTACTTAATCTCATTATGTATCGCATAGCAGCAAGCACACCATAACAAGGAGATAAGCATTTCCATTATCTTTAAGAATAGGGCTGCTGACCTGAGTTTTCATGTAGTCTTCAAATTTGTCAGAATATTGAATTAGTATATAGAAAAAAAAAAAACACTTGAGTTCAAGATAAGTGATTTTCCCCACCTTTAATCTGACCATAACCAAAGTTTCAGAAGTGACTAATAATGAAAATTGTGGCTGCTGCTTAACATACCTAATACCAAACCCCAGTTTTTTCTAAATAGAGGGAACAATGGATGCCCTTCATTCCTCCTTCTGAATAGGGAAATCAGTTTTTTCATAGCTCATCTTACTTACCATAGGCTCTTCTTTTTGTGCCATGGTTGAAATATCTGAAAGGGTGAAAAAGCCTCTAGTTATTTTTCTTCTAAATATTGTTTTCATCGTAATAAGGTAAATCGAGTTTTAAAAAATTTTCTCTGCTGTATTGCTTTTGCAATAGTGTGTTGAAATTCGGATCTCACTGAAAACCCTGAGTTACACGGAAATAAAGGGTTGTATTCAGGACACTTGAGCTTTCAGTTCAGTTTATCATGTTTTATCCATGCCAATCTTGTCCATCTTCAAACAACCTCATCCTTTGTATGCTGTTTATGAATTCCATAAGTTTAAAAGAGCTGAGAAATGTTTCACTTTGATTCACGAGCAGGTTTTTTTGTCAGTAAATTGTCGTCAAGGAAAATGAAGAGCGGGAAAATTATGTGTATGTACTTGAAGTAAGCGTTAATGAAGCATCCCTTTTCCCAGACCGCTCGCCAATTGGAAGAGCTTGTTTTGGTTTGAAATGAAGGAAAAGGGATATTTTTGAAAAGCAAAATAAATTTATTACCTCAGGATAACCAGAGAAAGCTTTAACGTTAATATATCCACATTATGAGGTGTAAGGTAACTCTGGAAATCTCAGTTTTTTTTTCAATCGCTCTCAACTTTGTTTTATCCAAAACGTTAATCATTACAGGCGTTCCACTTTTTGACCATAAACGTGAATTTTATGTCTTGTAAAGGAGAGCGTGTGTGCATCGGATGTTAGATTTGTTTTCATTCGTGTGCAGTCAGTCATGTAGCGCTAATCAATCCCACGATGCGTGAAGTTAAATCAGTCGTCGCCTGTCAGTTGTCTGATGCCCATTGATCTGTGACTCTTTTAAACCACAAGATGTCACTTCCCGTCGAAATGCAGAAAGTGTTTGTGAACATTGCATCTTAGGCCAAAACGTTTCATTCACAAAGACAAAAGAAGAAGGAAATCTTTACCTTGTCTTATTCATTAGTGTGAAAAGGCTTTATCTTCCGGAGATGATTCTCTCTCATTAAGCAGCAAATTTTTATTTAGGGTTGACTTCCTTAAGTCTTGGCGCTGAAACAACGCAATTGAATTATTGAATGCCGCTATTTATTACTTACTACGTGTAAGTGAATGGGCTGTCTTTGAAAAATGTTTATTTGCTCAATCATTCTACCGCAAACAGTGGACGCGCTTTGTTTTTGTTCAACTGTAATTTGAGGCCTTTTATACAAGGTTTCTATCGGTTTTATTGAGTGAAAGTATATATACAGTAAACGCGCTTAAGAGAACTAATCACTTATTAAATAAAAAGTACCATGAGTCAGTGAAGCTTAAGAGAACTAATCACTTATTAAATAAAAAGTACCATGAGTCAGTGAAGCAGAGCCATGTAAACAACCCGTGGCCGTAGAGAATGCTGCGTCAGGATTGGCTTAAGTTGCCAAACTTGAGCCGATCCTGACGCAGCATTCTGACGGTTAAGAGATAGTGGCGTGAGTTTGTATAGAACCAGTCTTGAAACTTACTATTGCAAATCTGAATTACTTTAAACACTCGGTAGAAAAGCGCTTAAATAACGTTATAAGGTCCTCTGGTTCTTGTCTATTTATATGTTATTAATTAGCAAGTATCGAGTATACGACGGATCTACAGACTCTCTTGAACTGGAAGTAAATGTGACGATAGCAAGTAGCACTCTGGGCGATTATCATTTCCTTGGGTGTTCCTTGTTGTTTGCACGTCAATGTTTACTCTTTCAGTTTCCTGCAGAGAAACATGGAAAGTTACTTGAGTAGATTGATAAATAACCCTCGCCAAAGAGAGCTGAAAGTTTTGCTTAGAGTTTGTTGGTTCTTTGATGTAGCCTTTTGACGTTTGTACACGACAAGGTAATAAGAGAAACAAGAAACAAACTGTCCTGATAACAGTGGGGATATGGGTGCTGCGTTATAAGATTTTCTTCCAGCTAACGCTTACCTGATCAGCCCCTAACATTCGGTACTCACGTGGTCGCAATGCAAACCTGCAGTTTTTGGAAAAAAAAAAGTTTTAATTTCTTGCTTAAAACATTTCCGTTTTGCTCACGAGTTTGATTTCAGTGATAGCTTCTTAGAGCTACATAATCATTTAGTTAGTAACAGCTACTCTTGTTTAACATAAAAAAAAACCGAGAACAGTGTAGTTTACCTCGTGTACTACTCTGTCTTTCAAAGAAAAGTCACTTTACATTGTTACTTACAAGTTAAAGATTTGTATGTCGTTTTGCTGTGAACATTGGGTCACTATTTCTCCTCGCTCAGTGAACCACACTTCATGAGAACCCTAATAAAGTAAAAAAAAAAAATGATAAAAGTTTTGGGAGGAAAGGGCCCATGTGATTGAAGGAAGATAGTGGCGCCCATGGTATTTTCGCCGAGAAGTAGCAAGCTTCTAATTCACCTGCTGCTAACTAGTGCCTTATTTTCAAAACCAATTGAGGATGAAACTCTCATTTTCCCAATTTAGTCAACCACAATGCGATTATACTTAAACTGTAACCGGACAAAATCTGAACTTAGCCGGTTTATGACCGATAATATAGCTCTTCCTTTGTATGATAAGAGTAGTTGAACACTTATTTTATTTTATTCATTTTTTTTAATAGGGAGACCAGAATTCACCTTTCTCTCAAAGTCTAATCCAGTTGTAATTCCACCCAACGGAAAGAAGGATCTATAGACCATCTGCAATTGCTGGGAAGCCATCTTTCTTGATCCTACATCGAATACAAAACGGTGTGCTTAACAGTATTTTATCACCGTAATTTATAGAGTTTATCCCTTTCTCCTCTCATTGGGTCTTGATCATGAAACGAGATTAGACGAAGTGGACCTACATATGGTGCTCAGCATTCGCTTGTGGAATCGCTTTTTATTCATGCCTGCCAGACAATGTGAACTTCGTCGCCCGGTTGATCCATGATATTTTGAATTTTGTTTGAGGCTAGTGTAGCTCATGTGTCCGATTTTTCTCCTTTTCTTTTGTTCTTGTATTTTTCGTTTTCTCTCAGTTTGACTGAGGCAAACTCCTAAGAGTGTGAGTATCGCGGAACACTGTAAGTGAATGGAAACCGCGAAGGGAAAAGGAATCCTTAATTGTATTCAACACCTTCACTCAATCTTCTTCCTGTGTTATGTGACACTGAATGGATTTACCTGATTTTATTTTTCAGATTTTTGTTTGATGTAGCAGTCAACAACTTTTTAGCTGTGTTATGATACTTTGTTGAGCTTTTTCGGATGTGAAGCTAGAGTTTGGGGACATCAACAAATCCGTGAACTTTGACGAGTTCAAATACAGATTCATCAGCGTAGAGACAGGGGATACATCCTCGTTTTAGAATGGTTAAGAATTCAAAAATAAAATCTTACATATAAAAGACATGAAAGGCAATAGAAGCACTTGCTTGACCTTTTAGGAATCAAAAATCGAAAATAACCAGAGAAAAAATTGCCAGAAAACCCTGATTAGTATTATGATATAAACGCTGGGTACTTACGCGCGGTTCTTTCCTGAATCTTCGGTACGGTTTGAGTCCTTATCTTTCCAACAGAAAGGCCTAAAAGATAAAAGAACACTCATGAGGTGGTGGTGAGAAACGTATTGGATAAATATTGTAGAAACAGAGCCACCAGAGTTACCCATAAGAGACATGGTACAGTGTGATAGCATGCTGTTGTAAAACACATCAGTGAATAGACTCCAAGACCACACGAAATCCTTCATTTTGATGTTACAAAAGGAAAACATCTGTTTCCTTTCGTCCAATTTGTTTCGCCACGGTTTTAAGACAAATCAGGCCTTGGTATTTATTCGGGTTTTACTCAGAAAGCCACGCTAACATAGGAGTATATCCGAAAGGATTTTTCGTACACGACAAAGCCGCGTGTATGCTTTCGTTTTGTGCTCTACGTGAAATTGAATGAAGATGATGATTAGCTGATGATTATGAAGAAAATGTCGCAAAATGTGGTGGTGAGAAACGTAGTAGATAAAAAGTGTCGGAACAGTTACCCATAGGACACGTGGTTCAGAGTGAAAGCATGCCATTCTAAAACACGTTAGTGAATTGACTCCAAGACCACACAAGGCCCTTCATTTCGATGTTTTACAGAAGGAAAACATCCGTCTCTTTCATCCAATTTGTTTCGCCACGGTTGTGAAACAAATCAGGTCTTGGTATTTACCCGTGTTTTACTCAGATGGCCATGCCGATACGGGAGTATGGCCGAAATGGTTTTTCGTAGAGTTGTTTCTAAACACGACAAAGCCACTTGTTCGCTTCTTTTTCAACCCTACGTGAAATTGAAGGAAGACATGATTATGAAGAAATGTCGCAAAGACTTACCGCGCGCTTGGAGACTAGAGAGGGATCGAGATGTGCAACAACCACTGCCTCTTCCAAATGGGTTGTTTCATTTTCCAGTCTGTTTTCTCTTCACCAGCTGCTCATTGTCAATTTCATTGGCGACGGCCACCTGGTCCGGTTATACCTAATATCCCGTACCCAGCCTCTGGCGCCAAAGTGGTAAGGTCCAAAACAAGTCTCTTCCACAATGGCGGCGACTGGCGTTTTTCCCATGAGTGCTGTTATTTTCCGTATATTTCTTGTATGTCAAAGTCTTCGCGTAGAATGCGCTTCTGAACAGCTTATAACATACATTTGTCAACTTCGACCGAAAACAATGCCCTTTCAAGCGGTAATTACTAGAATTATTATCTGAACGTCACCGCGAAAAGTTTCCGTCTTCGGAATCTTCGATATCTTTGTGTTCATGACCCCTGGTAGAGTTTTGTCAACTTCGCCACGCTTCAAAATCGTTAGAGTACTTTCTTCGTGAAACAGTCTAGCCACCACGGAAGTTACTCTTGTACTTACAGTGAGTAAAACCTGCAGCGGTCTTCCCTCTGTGGCTCAAGAAAGTTGAATGACTGTTACAGCAAATAGATGTTGGCGAAATTTTGTCGTTGACTTTAGCGGTCTTATAATTAGTAGCAGTACGCTGTTGAGAAAATTTCACGGATACAACCCTGATATATTGCTGCGCGTTTGGGAAATTCCCTCCCAATCGCATGATCTTTTACTGATGATGACGTCATCTGTGAAATTTGCGCTTTTCGAAGCGCTCTTGAGCCACTGATGTGAAGCTTTGTTTACTCACAAGAGGTATTTGACCGCAGCACAAGTCTTTCAGAGAAGCGAAAATTTTTCCAAAGGCAAAATAGTGTTCGGTCAAGTCTGGAATTTAAAATGCGTCATAGGGCGAAAACGTGCTCAGGCTTGCATTTTTCTTAATGAGCTAAAGAATAGATTGTTGTCAATAAATGGCAGTCACAACAGCGAGAGACAGTCGATTGGTTACCTAGAAAATGCCTCGATTGCAGAATGGCGTAAATGCTTTTAGTATGTAGTATGGTTTCCTTGCAGAAGTTTTCCTGTTTACTCTTCTTCATTCGATAGCCACCAATGGCCATAAGATATTGAAATTGAAGGGAATATACTTGGAATGAGACATTGTAATCCACTTTCTTTGGTTAGGATCAAGTTGCTATGCGCAGTGATTGTTATTATTTTTTACGTTCTATTTGGTTCCTAAGAGGTATGTAATGTCACCGACTCCTGAAGAATTGAGAAAGAGTAACCAACATTATTTTCGCAGTGTCTCTTTTTAGAAAAACGTGAGTCAGCAAATGCTCTGTGTGTCCTTTAAGTGATTTTTAGATTCCTATGTTGGGAATCTAAAAATTACTTGAAGGAAGCACAGTTGCGTTAATTTAGTCATGTTATTTTTTTACCGGCATGTTTACTGAAGCAATTTCAAGCTGGACTGAATTTGCATTTCTTGATGGTTGTATGGTTTTTTTTCCAGTGCTCAATTACGTGTATGTTGTCAAATCATTTTACTCATGACTAGGTCACCTTTGTGTTGAATAGAAATCTTACAGCAGCTCAATAGTGACCCTGCTAGAGCGAAAGGGAACTTGAACAAACCTAAAATTCATAAATTCATGCACGATTGCGTCTGGTCTGTCGGGTGGATTTGACTAGCTGGGAGGGGAGGGAAGGGTTAAGGGGTCAAACAAAGATGAGTGAGACACGGACGTACGGGATAGGCCTTAAGGAACACTAGTGCTTTGTCCATTCCGTCACGAAAGTGGATCGAGATTATGCATGCCAAATTGGTCTTTTTTCGAGAAACTCTGAGCCTCAGTTTTGAAACGAGGCATGTGAAAAGCCTTGGTTCTGAATGTAATGTTCATGTTGTTATAAAGGTAAACGCACCGAAGTGTTGAGTTTGATTTCATTTTGAGAGTGAGGTGAACTTGCAAAGGAGCCAAGCAATCCTTGATTGTAGTCTTATCATTCGGTCTGTTTTCATGCGAGTGATGGACTCTGGCACACATAGTCAACAGAGACCGAAATCTACTAAATTGATAAAATATGTGTTTGTTTTTATGATACATCTCGCCTAACTAATTATCAGTTTACAACAATTATCCTTAATCTAACGTATCATCTGTTTTAGGCTCCTGGTTTGGACGTTTGAATGTTTTCTATGCCCAACACGACTAAAATTCTCTATTCCACGATATTTTTTTTGATAACATGTAAGTTTGAAGTTTCAAGATTTCATTTCACACTGACAGCATGATAGCCATACAAACACAACCAAGAGGCTCAGCAATGCCAACAGGGCCAAGAGGAATTCTTGGTTAGTGCTTTCTACAAGCTAAAAAACAAAATAAAATGTTTTTTTACTCTTGTGCGTTAGCTAGTTGATTTTCATCAAAAAATCTACTGATGGATAATTTTCGTACCATTACGGCATCATCTCGGTTTATCGGGAAACTGGTGATCATTATCATTTATAAAATCGCAACTAAAGTGAACAAAAAGACAATCTCTATCATTTTCCCGAAATTTGAAAGAGGGAAGTATTTCATTGCTTTCTTTGTGAAAACTATGCTTTGGACTCTACAGCTAGATGGTTGACTTATGCTGTCAGTGAAACATACAAAGATCTTGCTTAAATCAGTAATCGAAACGATCATTCCTTTACTCGCTCCTACTAAGCCATTATAGCAAGGCCTCTTTTTACAGTTTGTACTTACTTTTCCGCCTTCAGGTGCCAATGTATCACTTCCTGATGTCTCGTACCAACTTCTGTTTCCACTGGAAGCAAAAATGTGAGTTTGTGAGTTTCTTCTTTGGGAAGATGTTTAGGAGGATATTTAGGAAGGTATTGACGATCGAAGCTATGTTTTCAGGAGCGAGCTAAAACATTACTTACACTATATATCGCTTACTCCCACAGTAAAAACGGAATTTTTGATGGGGGGTGCAGGGGAGGGGTGAGGGAGGATGATAAAAGATGCTCAGAAATTAAAAATGAGCGTTGAAATGACCACCAATTGAAGAAGGTTTTGACTGTCAAACAAATTCTCCTTGTCAGCGTCAGAGAAATTGCACAGAAACAGTATGGAAAATATGCATACTGATATTATGATGTAAAAGGGTGAATTTAAGAAATACAGTCATCTGTACTTGGTATCGCTTAGCTTGCAGACTGTAAGTGATAAAGGATTAAGTTATTTAAACCAGGCTTACAATACAGCCAATCTTCGTTCGGATTCTCCTTGTGAACAAAATCTAAGAGGGTTTCCTCGCTCTGTCTGCCGATTTTCCTAAAAATTGAATAAAGAGAGAGAGAGAGAACGGAATAATAAGTCACAGTCCATTGAAAGTTATAAATAGTACACAGCGCAATATTTTCAAATTATATGCAGTATGATTCCTACTTATTGGACTAAATGACCTTTCTATATATGGTTCATGAAACATGAAGAGAGGAATTGGGAGAAAACGCTCGTGTAACGCTAAATTGTGCTAACTTTCTTCATTTCAACCATGACGTTTGGTATATTTCCGTTATTTATTTTTCTCTTTCGCTTTATAGTCTAAAATAACAACTCTTACTTTTTTTTTTCGGAGGGTACGGTAACGAATCCTGCAATCTGATTGGTTCTTTACCCGGTCAGTATTTCCCTATCTCTGCCCACGGGCCACGGTAACGCTCTCGTGAGTCGCCAAGTACATCCCAACTATCGTTGCCATTTTTCATAAATATATCTCGTTTTCCGGCTGGGCGGTACTTTTAAGCAAACACGTCGGTCACTACCTCAGGCCGATAAATAACTTATGAATCCCCTCTTTCCCTTCTCTCAAATCACTTTGGTTGACAGAAAAATATTAGTTTCAGAATGAACTTGTATAAGCAATAGTGTCATTGCGTTGGTTGACAAGGGCCTAAAAACCGTCTGCAATTAATTTTAAGCGTTCAAAAAAGTACCTAGAAAGTTAAAACGTGAGGTATTTGGTTACAGTTAAACTGAACAATGGAACTTTCATTTGTTTAATATCAGAATTTTCTCAAACAATTTGTTCGTAGTGAAAGAGCGAACGAAGTTTTAATTTCAGTTCTACAACAAATATACGCTCTCGGTGAGTCTTTCCAAGTCCGTTCAATTTGGACATTTGTACCGTAAATTGCACAACAGAAACTGAAGGAATTTATTGAGAAAAGGCCGCATTAAATCCCCTTGTGTCTCGTTGGAGTGTGCCATTCGAATTTAGTTCTTGTGGAGGAAAGACCAAATTTACACACGCCATTGCAGCAAACAAACCAGCAAACTCTCACAACTTCAAAATAAAAAATTTGAATTTACTCACAATTAATTTCCTCGCCGTTTACTCAATGAACAGAGGTAAATCTTCGTACATGAGAGTGAATATACTTTCCGTCAGATCATTGACTGTTTTTGAAGAAAACATTGTCGTAACAGTCCTTGCCAATGCAGTTCCGTTGTTTTTCAAATCTTCTTGCGCTTTTTTTTTCTTACGCGTCTCTAATTGACAGGTGTCAGATTGAGACAGATATTTGTAAAAATAATGTTTCAAAGTTGTTTGGAAGCCTTTGAAATTACCGCTATCATTATGTTAATGAAAATGTTTCGGTGGGGCATCTCTCTTTAATTTGCATCACCTCCAATTTAACTACTATTTACTCGCTCAAAAATTGTTCAGTTTATGGAAGATCTTGCCGTATTTACAGCCCTAAATCATTCGGGTTCTTTCGGAAAGAATATCGTGAAGTTTAAAAAAAAAAATGTTATTTACCGGCTATGGGTCGGTCCGTATGGTGAAAAACTGTGACCTCGTTCTTGAAAATGCTGCCCTAGGCCTTCGGCCTCGGGCAGTAATTTCAAGACCAGCCGGCGAATAGCATATATGTACTGTTACTTGAAATTATAAATTCCTTTGGTGCATACCTCATCTTTTGGCAGCATTTCAAAATTAAGTTTTCTGCAAAATAAAAAAAGCGTAGGAAATTTCACCAGTTGGATTCGTTCAGAAGCTCTTTTAAGGTCCTTCTGGGAGCGTTCGTGTGACATTCAAGTGATTTCCTTTAGATGAACGCGCTTCAGACATTTTTAAACACCGTCACCAAAAGCATTAAATAACTTAGTAAATATAGTATGAGTCTGTAGCCGTAATGAAACAAAACTATCAGAAAGAGAATTGGATAGAAACTTTGGGAACAGAAGGATGTTTTAAATAAAAATTCACTTGTTTACAGGAAAACTGATTGCCGGTACCAGCATCTCTTGTCGCTTTCTGAACATGCGTGAGTCACCAGACTTTTCGCCCGGTTTAAATGACCTATCTAATTCAATTTTTCCTCAAAAGATTACTTTTCTTACCTTTTTAAAGTGTTTCACAGAATCAAGTTAAAATAATTGAGAGAACTTTGAAATTGCTACCAGAAACACGCAAATGAAGTTAATGAATTTAGGGAACGTAAGGAAAAGGTCTGACCAGACGTGAAAACGACGATTAGTTTCAGTTAGAATGCAAGTGAGCAGTTGATTGTTTACGGTTTGGTTTTAGGGGTATAAAATTGTAAGTGATATTAAAATTCGCACAATACCCTTTATTACTTCGAATACGTCACTCCAGTGTTACATGTAATTAATATGGAGTCTACGTGATACAAACTTTTGCAAAACAATAACGCAACGTAAGACCCAGAATCGAAATTTAAAATTTAAAATTACAATTACGTAACTGTAACTTGTGAATCGTTTACAGAAAACATTCTCTCTGTGTGGTTATTCGGCCAGCGCTCGCTCAGTG